TGATAAACCCACAGGACAGGGCTACATCTGGGACTGCCTGGTCAAATATACAGAGAGTAAATGTTAGGGTGTCGTGGCTAGGTTGTTAACCTGGGGGCGATTTTGACAAGCTGGTTACAGGATTAGTTTGGCTAGCGTAAAATAGCATGCTTTAATCGAGGGCGATGACTTGGAGAGGGCTGAAAAAGCGTTGGAGAGGTGCCCGCCCCCATTTAGAAGAGACAGTGGTACATTCCCTACCTCTTTTCATTTTATCAGAATCTGAATCAAGGATATTCACTATGTACATCAACATGTATTAGAAAGTTCTCATTGCTTGGTCCCAGTATACGACTTTCAACACACTTACACTAATGTTGCACCTTCAATAAAAATACAATATACACAACCTAAACTTAGAGTAAAAATCAGACATAAAAACAGCAGCTGTATGACAATTAGATTGTGAATATCCAATTATGCTTTATTTTGGGGAGGTGCACAGCCCCATGTGGAGGGGCCAGCAGTACATTCCGCAATGCAATGCCACCACCATCCTGATTCCATGGTAGTGCGTTTATAGATTGGTTCTGATCATGTAATCATCATGTAACATATTAGAAATTCATCTCTGTGTCCTGATTCGTCACATTAAATACAACTTACATCAATACTGAACCTACAAAAAAATACTTTATACACAGCTTAGTTTTATGCGTACTGGTACGTATGTACAAGAGTTAAAAACAGCACCTGCATGGCAATTTAATTTTACTTATTTATTTTATTTCGATAGTGCACAATTCTCAAATAGCAACAGAAAGACTATTTACTTGGGGTGTCAAAGCGGGCAGGGTTAGGAAAGTGTGTTAGTGGTCCAACCTCAACAGCATCTCAACATCTGCCTGGGGAACAGTGGGTTAGCTCATCACAATATGTCTTAAAACAGGCCTTTAAATAACCCACAGCTGGCAGTCACTGAACACAGCATAGACCAGTTCCAGACAGAACCTTAGTTGGCCTTATCACTGACCCACAAATGTGTTTTTGTAGTAACTGTTGCAAGGTTGGGCAAGCTTTACAGAACACTGGCAAAAATCCCACTTAGCCTAATGAGAAAACTTTATTACATATTTTTTGTCAAAACATGGAAATGTAGAGATATTCATTTCATATTATATGTACTTTTTATGTATCTCAGGTATATTTTTTGTCATGTAATTGAGCTGACCTTAGCCTGATTTCACATTTGTTGTTGTAGGGTGACTACATGTGTTTTTCTAAAAATAAAGGACACTTTAACAGAAAGGAAACTGTAGAAAGCAAAGTCAACATGAAAGTAAAGCCAAATCCCAGACATTTTAGGCAATTTAGAAATCCTGCACAGACACTTATTCAGGTCTTAAAAAGTGGACATGTCCTGGAAAAAGAGGACTCCTGGTCATCCAAGTTGCTGTTTTCAAGTTGACTAGTTTTAATTAGCTACAACAACTTGATGGTACAGAATTTTAAACTTGAAAATCAATGCTATGTTGCAAATCTAAACTTCAGTGTAAATACATCGGGTTGAACATCAATTGAAGGTAAACTGAGCCTTAAATTTGGAACTGAACCCAAATGTAGCCCAAAAACATTCTGTCCAAACCCAACTGGAGACTGAAGAAAACTTTTCTAATCCTAATTAAACAATTTTTAAGTTACTTCATGGCAACAATGACAGATGTCATCAATAAGCAAAATGGAAATAGCATACTTATCAGTTATCCAAAGTTAAGTTTAAATCCCACTCTATCTAAAGCAAGTTTAAATGCAGGCCAAAACATGTTAAGGTAGGAAAGAGTCTATGAGAATCCCAAACATGAAATCTGAACGAGACCCAAACCCAGCAAATATCTGAAAAATGATGTCTGTGAATCGCTGTGTTCAGACAAACATGGCAAGGTCTAACTCTGAATCACCTCAGTGCTCTAGTCTGAACATGGTGAGACTTTCCTCACACACACACACACACAAAGAAAGAGTGCTCCCCAGAGCTCAGACACATCACCCACTGCCATATTCAGCACATGTTAATAATCCCACCTCAATCCTCGCACACATGTAGGCCACCTCACCGCCTTATCCTCTCTGCTTGTGCTAAGATATGTCCTGACATTTAGCTGAAGCATGGAGAGGCTCTCTACCTGCTGCTGGAGGTGTATTACCATGGCAATATGAGAGAAAGAGACTTCCTAAGGATTCAAGCAATTCTATAACCATGCGGTCACAGAGACTCCACCAAGCTGTTTGTTATTGATCTGTCTCTTATTTTTTCTGTGTATGTCTCTCCATCTTTCTCTTTTCTCATTCATTTCAAAAGGTATTATTTGCATAAGTATACAATAATATTGCAATAGAGAGCTTTCATGGACATATGAGTAATATTTTTTAATAGCAATACTGGCAAAACAGCAATACTGATTCTTATAATTTAGCTGTATTGTGCTACTGATGCTTATTATTGTAACTTGCGCTCACTTTCTCTCCCTTTGTCTCTCTCTATCTCATTTTCCGCCTACAGTTTAATTAGAAGAGAATAACTAAAGTAGACAGGGTTCCCTCAGGATTATCATTTGACCAGCATCCAGCCATGCTGGGACTTTACGGCCTCCCAGAAAATAATTCAGACAGCGCAACGCAACACCAAAATGTGGGCGAGAACATATGTTTGAAGCAATAATAACAAAGCGTTATGACTGTCAGGAGAGACGCGCCCTGCTTTGCACACACCTTAATGGCATTCTGGGGAAAGGCTCTGTGTCTGGGCAGCGTGCTATATTACTTCTTTGACAGCGAGCATTGCTCATCGGTGTGCCGTTTTTAACCAAAGCAAATTAATGACTGCGAGCAGCACCTGTTGTAGTGTGGCATTAGAAATTAATGGCGAGGGGGACTCGTCATTGAAAAGACCGCCTTGACAGCAGTTTCTAAATATTGTTTAGTCGGAGAAATGTGGACCTGAACAAGCACTAAGAATTCCCCATACCTCCATCAGCATGGCTCAATGGGCCATAAGGTGGTTTGAGACAGGCACTTAAGCCTGAAGTTTCCTACAGAGGATTCTCATCAACTATTGACCTACGTGTGCATATGCAAAACCTACAATATGCTACATTCAACTAACATGGAGGAGCTTATGGAGTCTGACCTTGATGTACTGCACGATAAATGCATTAGTAGAAGCACACAGCTATCAGTGGGTGATGGTTAAAAGCATCCTGAGATGGGATAAAAGATGATTCTTAACAATATGTTAAATTCTATGTTAAAAGGCCCATTTCCATGTATTGTATTTTTTCCCACTCATGTCCAAATGTTTGTGTTGGTTTTATTACCAAAAACAGTCACTACATGACAATTTTCCAACTTCTCTTCATCTGTTATCAGGCTGTTTTTGTTACTCTGTCTTTAAGACTGACATGTAAATGACATCTGTTCTGATTGGCGGCCTTTAAAAAGCAGTCTATATAACTTCAGACATGTATGGGCAGGACTAAACTGCTGTAGGCAGACTAGGCTGATTCATTTAAATTAATTGGTTTTCATAACATCACAAAACTTATTTTTTTGCAGCTTAGTTTCCATGAATTGACTGTACGAACTAGAGAATGAGGTATGTTTTAAAAGTTTAACAATGTTTACATACTTCATCAAACTACTTCAAAACAGTGATGAAAATGAATTTTCCATGATACTGGATGGTGACCCTGTAAGGTATTGTTTCTTTTTTAACAGAAGCTGGACCACTATGCATCTTTGGCATGGCAGCCATGTTGAGGCCAGGGTCACGACACTGACCTTGACTGTGGTTTCCACATTAACAATGGCCTTGAACTTGACCCCAGCTCCCACCTCCCCCCTGCACATATTTACCCAAGCCCTGTCCTGGAAGCAGCCCTGCTGCCCCTTCCGCACAGCAAAGCGAAGAGATTTGTGGCTCCTTGGGTGACCTTCCCCCCACTCCTCCGGCCTGCCTCTAATTAGGCGATGCATCTGATCATCATTAACAGCTCCGAGATAATGAATCACTTGCTCCTATCTCTCTGTTAATTCGCTGTAACCAAGCGGCTAATGGCTGTCAACGCTGACTGATCACACTGATTGTGGTGACTTCTAATTGCAACAAAACAATTTAAAAGCAGCCCGGTTATTTATGTCGCCCACGGAAAGAGAAAAAAGACGGAAGGAGGGGATAGCTGCTCACAAGTGGAAGAAGAGGGGAAAGAGATGAGACGAGAGGGAAAAGGAACAGTCTGGTGGTGGATGAAGTGGGGGAGATTATGGAGGAGAGGGGAAGTGGAGATTGCACCCAAGTACAGCTCAGGCTCCCCAGGGAAATCCAGCTGAGGGGGATGCTGGATGCTGTTCGCTCTGTTGCTGCACCCTTCACACACAACACAACCCCGGAGATCAGCTGCTTTCACTCCCCCCGACGGCACCCAGGGCCTCCGCACAAACGCACTATCTAATTGGAGTGCAATTACCCAATCACAATTGACAATTAAACAAAGAGAAATTGGTACCCAGAATGACTACCTCTGCAATTACACATTAAGTGCAAGGTATAAATTGAGTTTCGCACATGGCCTGTAAAGCATAATTGTGTGTTTGTGCGTATGTGTGCGTGTGTGGGTGTGCGGATGTTGGCAAAACCTATCAAATTATTCATGCAACCACACAGGCGTTAGCACTCATTTATGAACAGGAATTCCATATTCACATCATGCATATCATAGGCATGTCTCCCTCCCTTCTTCTTCGAGAGCGCCTAACTGGCGAGTTTTTCCTTTAGCCCTTTCCTATGCTAATGGCCAGCCCTCCCCTGCCTGGCCTGGCCCCCGTGTTTGTTTATTTTGCTGAGCGAGCAGCGGATAGCCGCAGGCTAGCCGAGCAGAGAGGAATGGGAGGGTGGTGGGGTGGTGGGTGGAGTGGGGAGAGGAGAGCCAGGGAAAGATATAATAGAGGAAATAGCGGGGCCGCACCTTGGGGCTGGCGTGGGGACCATGGTTCTCAGGGTCCTCAGGGTCTGTGGCTCTTTCGCTGGCCAGGATGTGGGCTTTGATGGTGTCCAGCGTGCGCAGCATCCAGCTGTGCTGCCGGCGGATCTGCCTCTGCAGCTCCTGCCACTGGTGCGCTATCATCTGGAGCATGTCCTGGAGGCCTGCACATTCACACACACATTATCATGTCATACTTATATTCATACAGATGCATCCATCCAATTCTACACATGCTTTGAACAGACATTTCCATGTACAGCACTCTATCATAGACATGTGTGTCTCTCCATTTTTGTCTTAGCATATGTTCCTTTCAGGAGGGGTAAAAATACATCAGCGCTTTATGATGCATCAGTCTGAAGGTGGCAGTTCAACTGCTTTGATTTTGAAATATCATATTTGATTAAAAGCAGTTAATGTCAAATAAATAAATAAAAGTATCCAGTCATTTTTATGTGTATTTTAGAACATACTGGTTTTATTGACTATAGTCCACTACTACAGTACTTTCTTGAGTTACATTTGTGTATTTCAGAGGGGAACCCTCAGGGTGTTTAGGCCGTCAGAGGTCTACGAAACAAATGTAATATGCCTGTAATATAACCATCCAGGATTGTAAAATTACTGTTATTTAATGTTGGAAACAAAAGAGTGAAATTCCTGAAATGCCCAGGGAAAATTATTTCATCAGGATTTTTTTCTCCATGGCATCTTGGTAGCTACAGTCAAGAAAGCTCCCTCAGTCTTTAGGACTTTAGGAGCTGAACTGAAGGCCTAAAGTGTCAGGTTCACTACTAACATAACTAGGAACTAACAGTGGAATCAACCAATCATTTTTTGATTTACAGTGGAAGGGACCGATTTTGTAAGGAAAAAAAAACATCACTCTAGGCCTTCTTGAAGCTCTAGATGTGTCACTGACCAAGAGTACGAGCTGTACTCTAACCAGGTTTCAGTTTGTCAGAAATGAAAAAAAAAATAGCTCCTCTAAGCCATTGGTCTTTATTGAAGAAGTCACTATAAAAGTTCTACATACAAAGTGAAATGTATGTTAATATGTATGTTAAAAGCTTCAAATGCGTTTCATTGCAGATGTGTTTTATTCTTGTCTTTAACTGAATTTTGACATTTATGACTCTGTATGAACGTGTAGCATGGTTCGCCACTGGTGTATTCTGTTCGTTTTGTTTCTTAATTTCTCAATTATACCAAATAATACATTGAGTCAAGGCTGAATGCACTGACTAGTTTCCTAAACAATCGTAATCAAACCATCGTAAGTTCAGAGCGTTACACCCCTCGGTTACTGTGTTTCTCTAGCTGTGTATAAACTAAAGTACTAAAACATGCATTTAGCTATCATATGCTATCACATGCTGCAGGAAAATCAGAAGACAATATGAAACTGATACACATTATTTTTATACAACATGGCAAAATTTCCTGTTGCTTATATACAAAGTGAAAGCACACAGCTAGCCTATATTACCCAGTGTGCAGAGCCCCTGCTCAGCAGTGTACAGGTCCAGCCAGTCCCCCACACACATCACCCACCAGTGGCCTTTAACGAGTCTTTAATGTGCTGTGGTTCCTCCATTCATCATGCCTCACATTTAACCACCACCCCTACACACAACCACCCCCCATCCCTATCACAGCAACTACAACCACATCACCACTAATAACACTCCAAACATTAGCCTAATCACTACTATCAGCATCTCCATCATATAAGGAGTGGCGTGATGTGGTATAAAAATGGTAGTTTGATATTTTAATGTCATGTTGAATTTTAATGTCTTTTTATAGGGCAGTAATCAGAAGTAGGAAAACACAGAGGTTTTGATCTCAAGCCACTTGATAGCTGCACCCTAGGTTGGTCATGCACTAAGTGTCATGCAAGTAAGTGTCAGAGGTGCATAATAACAAACTACAATTACTCAATTCCATGTACTGAAAGGACATGCATTTTGAAAAAAACAAATTTTACTCTTTTTTAAAATAAGAGTTTGATGCATGTAAATTTGATTTTGTTATGATTCACTCTCCAGTCCATACTGCCCATATGTATGAACTAAGTTGCAAACACCTATAATGGCCTCACGGTTGTTATGTCATAAACATGTTGGCTTCACTAAGCAGTTCCACTGTGGTTCTATAAGGAATCCATCCTGATATTTTTTTCTCCTACTTAAGTTGTTTTTTGGTAGACTACTTTTACTTCTGCGTGTGTCCGTGCATCTCTGAAGTAACAATATTTTTACCTGAGTATGGTATTAGGCTACTCTAACTACCTCTGCAGAGTGCTGAATTAATCCCCGTGCACAGCAAGCCATTTCTACGCCACAGTCTGCTTTCTGCAAATCCTGCTGGCCGTAATTAAAACTGTGAGGTGAAGAGGGGCGTGGGAGGGGCTGGAGTGTGTCCCTGCACCATGTGCATGACGAGCTTTGTCTGCTGAGCGGGGCGCTACACCGCTGCTTGCACCTGTCGAGTGATCAGATCGGCTGAGTTGCTAGGAAACCAGGTATTAGTGGTCGGGACGGAGAGTCGGGAGGAGATTTACTTATAATTGCGCCGTCCAATATATACACTGAGAGGATGCTCCAAGCCAGAGGAGATTAGATGTATAAGTGTGTGAGTATGTGTGTGTGTGTGGTTGTGTGGATTGGTACGAGGCAGTCGCTGTGCCATGGCGTGATGGGCACAGTAAGAAGAGTCCTGCTCCGGGGGGCCATCTGCATATTTAATGGTGGCCAGCTTAACCAGCAGAGAGGAGAGGACTAGCCGACAGGGAGGTCAGCTTAGTGGATTTGTACATTTACTGAGCGCTCAGCAAGGCGCTTCAGGTGAATAATCACAGAGAGAGAGAGAGAAAGAGAGGGAGGTTGGGGGAAAGAGAGCATGTAAGAGTGAGAGAGAGAAGAGAGGAGCGTACTAATAAATTCTAGTACTATTACTATTTACTTAGCACTACTAAATTGATTTAGTTCTTGTTTAATTATCTTTTAAATTCCTTTTTTTCCTTGTAAATGAAACTGAGGCTTCTTAAATGGGTGAGTTGCACAAACAGAAATTAAGCTTGGATTTAATCAAGGTTTATCTAGTAATCCAATTGCAACAAACTTAAAAAATAATCAGGGTCACATTTAAATGATCATTTTAATCCTAGATTTAGTTTTACAGGAAACCTAGACTAATTTTACTACCACTGCTCCATTACCTGAAACTCAGATTTAAACTTTGTTTAGAGATTGAATTTAAGCTTCCAGCAAATTTTGTGTCTATGAAGTAAATGGCCAAAGACATACTTGCTATACCCAGCAGAACAACTTGGTCTTATTTAACTAGGTCTAGGATGACCAATTTGGCAGATTAACAGGCTACTCTAATAAAATTCAGAGTTAAGCTTTCAGCTTGAGTATTTGTGAAGTATTTATTGTGAAACTGTAACATACAAAGGACAGAATGGTTTAATCAAATCACCAACAGGTTTTGTATATAATTGAAGCAGTCCTCTCAGGCTAAACCCCTGCCCCTGATGCTGAGCCTCTGGGTTTGAATGTCTGAATCCTTCTGTGCCTGTGAGAGCTGTTTTTAATGTAAACCTATGTCTGTTCTCACTCAAAGGGGAAGAATACAGTATTTACATGACTGCTGTTGAGAGTAACTTTGTTGCTCTTTATTTATGCTGGCAAGGAATCCATCATGGTGGATAGCTGAAATTAAATGAAGGTTAAGTTTTTAAACACAGATTAAGGGTTTAATCTCAGATATTTAAATCCATGTTTAACACTCAATTTAAAACAAAATCTAGATTAACAAATCCATGATCAGCTCTAAACTCTGTGTTTAATTTAATCCTTGTTGTTGAAAACCACCCAAAATGTTCTAAAGGTTCACTTTGTTTATTCCAGTGACGCTTTTGCAACACTGTAATTAAATATGGCCATATCAATTAAGCTTATTGAATTGAGAGAGGGAGAGAGGGGAGGAAGAGAGAGCACAAAAGAAGGAGAAGGGAAGAGAAAAAGTAAGAGAACAAAATGAGAAAGAAAGAAAGGAGGAGTAGAGAGAAAGTGAGAGAGGGAGATAGAGAGAAAGAGGAAGACATACAGAGACAAAGTAAGTGAGAGAGAAAGAGAAGGAGAGAGGAAGTGCGTTAGAGTGAAATACAGTGAAAATAGAGTGAATGAGAGAGAGAGAGAGAGAGAGAGAGAAGGAGAATAAGTGAGATAGAGAAAGTGTGTATGAGAGAGAGATAGAGAAAGATAGTGAGAGATGGACTGAGAGAGAGAGAGAGAGAGAGGAGTGAGTGAGAGAAACAGGAGGGTGAGTAGGAGAGAACGAGAGAGGAGAGTAAGTGACAGAGAGAAAGAAGGAGTGCGTGTGCGAGAAAAAGAAGCAAAAGAAAGTGTGTGAGAGAGAAGGAGAGTAAGAGAGAGAAAGGAGTGTGTGTGTTTGAGAGAGAGAGAGAGAGAGAGGAGTGTGAGTAAGAGAGAGAGAAGGAGAGTGAGAAAGAGAAAGAAGGAGTGTGTGAGGGAGATAGAGAGCCAAAGAAAATGAGTGAGAGAGAGAGAGTGAGAGAGACTGAGAGAGAGTGAGAGTGAGAGAGAGAGTACGATAGATGGTCTAAGACCCTGACTCAGTTCCTGCTGTTCTTAATTCCAGCTCTCTTCATATAGAGTGCAGCAGCATCCTGCTTTATCCCACAACTCAATTCAGCCGGCCGAACGCACTGCGCTCTGAATGGATGTGGAAAGGCATGTGCAGTGGTGCTGTGAAGCGGTTACTTGAAGATTTATAAATTCTGAAGGTCAGTATGTTAATATAAACATTAATAATAAATGTGCGGCTTGCCGGCGCACTACCTGATTTGTGGGAGGTGATGAGTTCCAGCAGCTGCCTCCCCTCCTCCAGCACACTGTCTTTCAGAGCGCTGTGACTGTCCACGTTCAGCTTGAAGCTCTGTGCACACACACATACACACACACACACATACACACACACACACACACACACACACACACAGAGAGAAACACACAGCATGACACCTCAATGCAGAGAAATAACCTCACACTCAGTTTATCTCTCACAGATTCTCTCTCGCTCTCCCTCTCTGTGCTCTCTCATGCTTTCACACTTCCCTATGTCAGCACACAATCTGACACACAATCTGACACACACGCATTCACACACAAAATAATGTGAAATTTCTCTTTAACTTTTACTTCTTTTAAAGGGCCCATATCCATATCTTGTATTTTTATTAGTTTTTCTTGTATAAATATAATTTTTTTCCTCTGAGGTCCACTTCAAATATGTATATATCCAATATAATATATCCAGTCTCTATTCCTAACAGTACATTCACATTAGGAGGCGACAAGCCGCTAATGCTGCCTCAAGTTTGTCTCTTGTAAGTGTGATAGAGGCCGCTCTTACTGATGCTTGTGTGCATGTACACTGTCCACTTTCTGACATAAAAAAAGGTTAAAATATCTATCATGTTTGTGTCATCAATTTGTATAGAAATAACACAGAGTTAAAAGTTTACTCATGGTTTGGACAGTTGACCCCAAATGTACACTATATTTCTTTTCCAACCCCAAGACTTTTAACCACCTGTATTTCATTATACTTAAGATTTAGATTCAGAACTACTGTCACATTTAAATAGTTTATAAGTTAACTATCAACTAAAACAACATATCATACACTGCTAATATAGAGGAAATAGGTAAGCTTACATTTTGTGACACATTTTGGTTTCTCCTCATTATATCTCCTAGTTTTGGCATTTTTTCTACTCGTTATTTATTGTCATTTCCATTTTGTACAACATACACTCTTTATTTATTTGTTTAAATGTGGCATGTTAAACTTAGTAACATTACAAAACAGTAGCACATAAATACAGTAATCATAGTGTCAATTACTAAAATAAATTAACACAGCAAAACTGTAAATTGTGAGTTTCTCCCACAGTCCCATTTGGAAGTCAAGTTACCCCACATGGGGTTACAAGGTCTTGTTTGGGAAACGCTGGTAAGTTTCTCTACCTTTTCTTGCATGATACGATTAGAAATATGAACAAAATTACTGTAGAAGAAAAAATTCAGAGAATAAAGGCTGAGGACCTCAGACCCCCGTGTCTATAATTAGTCTGAGGAATTCGTTTGAGCTAATCACTTAAACTGTCACTTCACTCAACTTGTCGCTTGTGGCCCTGCTAAATCACGACTACAAACTGTGCACTTTCATAAGAAATAACTGGCCACGTCATTCTGTCACCTGCTGAAGTGAACGTATAGGTAGACTTAAACAGGTGGTTTTTGTTAATGTGCTTTTAAGTAAATTTATATGTAAATGACCTCTATTCTGATTGGCTGCCCATTCAAAAAGCAGTCCTAGCTAAAGCACACCTTATAACGTCAGGGTGAATGGGCGAGGCTAAACTGCTGTAGGCTGAAAAGGCAAATATATAAATGAGTTGTTTTAACAGTGCTTACATACTACATCAAACTTTTCAATTAAAAAAAAAAGTGAATCCAGTTTTGTGTGATATGGGGCCTTTAACTCAAATATTCCCCCATACGATTGCTTACAGAGTCTCTCTCCACCACCAGCACTGTCTCAATTCATCTGCACTCTTGAAACAAATGCTCATAAGTCACATTATGGGCCTTTGTGTGAACGCTGAAAATGCACATAATCTCCTGACACACTGCCTTCACACAACCTCTAAAGATCCTTCACACACTCGCGGACCTCAAACACACATTATTCATGGAGCGCCGCTCCTCTGTGGATTGGAGCCCACTGTTCTCCCATCTTGCCATATTTGTCTGAGTCAATCCCGCTATCTGTGCCTGTGCTGAATTATTAACAAATGACAGACGTCCCTCTAATTCATCATCCGCCGGCATAAACTAATATTCAAATGACGTTATAAAACTGAAGCCATTTTCTCCCACAGATGTGCCCTCCAGAAAATGACCTCGGGAGCCCACTCTATTCGGCAAGGGAGAAACTGTTTTTCTCTTTCTTCTCTCTCTCTCTCTCTCTGTCTGTCTACAGAGCAATACAATGGGGTACCGTTCTCCCCAGCTCAAAGGATCCGTCAGACGGGCGTCCCGTAACTCTCGGGTGTGTGTGTGCGTGTGCTTCCCCCTGAGCGTCTGCCCATTTACTCTGATGTCTCTATTTCAACTATTATACTCCTTTTTCTCCCCCCCTCCCCATTTTTCCCAAACACTCCAAACAGCCTCGCTCGCCCCCACGCTCCCTGCTCCCTCACTCTCTCTCCGTGGGTGCCGCTGCCGCAGTGCAAAACTTTCATGTTGATTGGTTTTGATAATACCCAGCGCGCTCTCGAGCGGAGGGCTCTCCAGTTGCTAAGTGTAATCAAAGTGTAAAGAGCATTATCCCGGCTCCTGGAGGCGGGGGGGAGGGGGGCATGTGCGTTTGAAGATGTGCTGGAAGGGGTGGTGGGGATGGAGGGGGGGTAACGTGCTCCCATGGGGAGGCCCACAGTGAGGCGCCTAGGGCCATCTTCCCCTTCCATTCTCATCTCCTCACATCTCCCCCGGCCCTGTTTCACACCATTACCGGCCGGTCTGATCTGACTGGCCCCGCCGAGAGAGCCACAAGCGGCCATCTGAACCTCTCTCTCTCTGTGTCTCTCTGTCTCTCTCACTCTCACTGCTGGCCTGCCTGCCTGCGCACCTGCCAGTGAGTCTTTCAGAGTGCCTGTCTTGCTCATTCTGTCTCTCTGACAGTACGCATGTTCCCCTCCATTCTGGATGCAGCTCTGCCAGCCCCCATTCCTGCTCATGCAGTGGTCTGTCCACAGACCCGTCTATTTCGCCCGCTTGCTAACTGCCTGCCAGTCAGTCTAGGTGTTTCTTTCTGTATGTGTGTCTGTGTATTTATGAATTTGTGTTCTCTGTGTCTGACAAATGCCAAACTAAATGAATGTTTTGCTAGACAAACAAGGCAACAAGACAAAATCTCAAAACCAGCCAGCTGTTGTGGTCATTCAAAATAAAAAAGAATCAAAGAAAATGTGATATGTATAAAATGTGTGTATTATCTATAATATGTATAAAATACACTCACTGGTCACTTTATAAGAAACCGCTACCTTGAATGTCCACCTTGCTACATTTTGTCAATATACGATATGTATCACGGTATTTTGTTTTCCTGAGACAGCAGGATCACAGTACTAAGATTATTTTTAAATCACCTTTTCAACTGAATTATACATGCTCCATCAACACATACATTCATTCTTAGCAACTGCTGCAAAGTAGGGCAAGCTTTAAAAAGTGCTGGAAAAAATCTCATTCAACCTAATGAGTAATTTCAAAGCTCCATTTCTGTCAAAATACCAACATTTGGGGGTGGGTTATGAATTTCATATGATATTTATTTTGTATGAAAGTGAAAGATCATCCTGTTAGTCTAGGTCAGATGTAACATTTTAGACCGGAACCTTTGCAATGAAAGAATATGGCTATGGGTGCAGCATGGATAGGCCAATTACATGTGAGGGGATTTAAACTTGGTCTACAGTCACGAATGTTGATGCACAACTTACTGTTAACCATCTTATAGGCCTTCATGAGTGTTCAGGTTCTGACTCTAGGACTGCTCTTGTACATAAATGTTAGGGTAGCGGACCACTATCAACCTCACAATGACAATAACAAGTGAAAGCTCCATTACCCTGCAATGCCTGATACACATTAAAATGCAGTCATGTCAGTGCCACTGCTGTGTTGAGAAAGGCCCACCACCCAAATAATATCTGGTAGCAATGGTCCTGCGGTCAGAAACTGACCAACGGTGAAAGTGATGGCTGACAAATTGTGCCTAATAACAGAGGGCTAACAGTAAGTAAATGGGCGTACAGGGTAGGCCTTTTAAAGAAGAGGACACTAAGGATGTTAAATGACAGCTTTTTAAATTCATAGCATTTGAATATGCCATTCTGAAAAGATTTCATATTGTTATCAAAAACAAACAATAACAGGTGTATGTGATTGAGCATAATACGAGCTGACCCACAAAACAATAACTTAGAGTCATAACAAACACTGCACAACTTCTTTGATCTGAGCTATTTTCATATACAGCTCTGCTTGGATGTCACTATTTTGCATAACAGGAGATACAATATGATATCTGCTGCTTGTTTGTCAACATTCTTTATAGTTCAACATCACTCATTCAAAAACATATTTAAAAATGATAAAATTATGCACAATCAACGTCCACTAAGAGTCGAGAATGTTTTTCCTTCTGCTGTAGTGTTACTATTTTGGAGATGAAAGGTTTTGTTCCGACAGTGACCATATGCTAAACGAGCTGTCCACTACTTTAGGCTGCCAGCCGTAAGCTGGAAGATGAGAAGGTTAAGGACGGCGGCAGCTCTGAGGCAGAGAGAGAGAGAGAGTGTGGGGATACACCGGTGATGGATCAGCACACACGCGCATCTATCACCCATGACAGACAAGAGAGAGTGTGAAGAACGTTTATTTATGGCTCCGGATGCTGGCTGAATTGATATCCTTTACAGACCTAAACGCCTTTAAAATGAGTAAACAAATAAACAAAAGCCACAATAACCAGATATCTGTCACTGATTTATACTTGACTGAATGCCTTTTAAAAATCTGACTCCAAAACATGAATGCTAATATGAGCGTTTGGTATATAGAGCAAGGACACCCCCACTCCATAGTATCCTATATTTACCAGAGGATGAAAAAAGAGGAAAGATGAAATAATATACCAAGAAATGAATATCACACAATTGCGTTATAATCTTATAAAACAATTCTGTATATCAATGGGAGCACTTCTAATTCAAGGATGACTCTAACCAATAATCCCTTGCATATCACCTTTTATGAGATGAGCACATATTGCTATAGACTTCTTCTGTTTATGCTTCATGTGGGGGAGGATCTAAAGTGCATTCGCGATCAATCTTGATGCATGCAAAGTGCCCTTGCTTCTTTTTCAAAAGCCCTTACCCTGAAGACTGAGAGTAAAAGAGAAAATATAATCTGCAGAATGAATCAAATCTCCTGGTTTTGAAAGTGAAGCTGAGCTCTTCACCTTTAAGAGTGGATTGATAAAGAAAAGGTTTGTGTTCAATGTAAGTGTGCAATCATGGCAATATGGCAAAAATATAAAATCAACACAAGATATGGATCATGATGTTTTCTTTTCTTGAGGCAGCAGTACCACATCTTAAAAATACTACTGAAAAAACTATGACTACAAACATTTTTAAATCAACATTTCAACTGACCTCTACATGCTCCGCCCACAAATGCATTCATTCTTATCAACTGCTGCAACATTCAGCAAGCTTTAAAGAACACCGGTAAAAATCTCATTCAACCTAATGAGAAATTTCAGATGTAGTTTTCGTGTAATTGGGCTAACATTAGCATGGTGGTAACAGTTTGGCAACACAGCATTTTAGACTGGGAATTCAATGTTATGCACTGCAATTTCTCGTTAGGTTGAATAGGCTTTTTGCTAATGTCTTGTAAAGGTTTGCTATGAAAGAAGAACAGGTTGTGGATGGAGCATGGATAGGCCAATTATGTCTCTTGGAGTCCTGGCATCGTTGAGATTTGAACTTGCAACCTCCTGACAACTGGGTGAACTCTTAGAGAGGCACTGAACCACATGACAGCCTATCATAAACCACCTTAGATGACCAGCAGATGAAAAATGCTTTGCTCAAATGTTGCACTTTGATGGCACAAGACATAATGGTGATTCTCTAAAATTTCATAGAAAATGAAGACATGAGTTATTTCTGGTAAAAAAAAAAAATAATAATTACTCACAGCAGATAGTTCACTTGTAGATAAACATGAACATTATTATCTCAGCAAATCTGAGCACAATGTGTGAGTTCACTGAGATCCCTACTAATACTTAACAGGAGACATGTGAGATTACAGGGCTTTCTTGCACAGGACAAATATCTCACTTTACACTCAGAAAAGCTTACTGTGACATAATTAATTGTGATAACATTATAATTTCATGATTTTTCGTACTTCTAAACCACACTGCACGTTTGCTGGGATTTGTGCGGATGTGAGGTGCGGTGTAGGGTTTATGGCGCTGGCTGCGGGTGTGGGGGTGTGTTCGCAAGAGCAGGTAAGCGCTCACACACTCCAGCTCCACTGCTCAGATCCGACAGCGGGGCAGCCGGGTTATCGCTGAGTTGACACCAATAGATGTGGCGCAGCAGCCACTGGACCACAAGCCTCCCCCTGCCTAATCCCCAAATCACACAGAGAGAGCAAGAGGGAGACAGAAGGTGTGTGTGTGTTGTATGTGTGTGTGAGAGCATGTGAGAAATTGAGGCAAGAGAATAGTGTGAGGTGAGACGGTGTTGGAGGGCAGGTTGGGTGGTGTTTGGTTTGATGGAATTTCAGTGTGTGTGTGTGTGTGTGTGTGTATGTGAAGCCTATCCAAGTCTAGCTGAGGTGAGCAGTGACAGAGGATTTAAAACATACAGACTAGTGCAGTAAAAATATATGTTCTTAATGCCCAAGTCTGCAGACACCTAGCATGTTTTTTCACTGCACAAAGTAAGGCAACTTTTACCAGCAGAAACCTGAAACTGCGCTTTTTCCGTTGACCAGCTGTTTAGTACCAACAGTTACAGTTTTAGGGGTTTTGGTACCTGCTCAAGATTGGTACCAACAGAACCTAACAGTACTTGAGGGTGTTCTCCTCTGTCTTTGGTAACACTTGCAACTAAAGCTAATGACAATTTAGCCAAAAGGGTAAAGTATTCCTACAATAATGGTACAAGAATTGTATGTTGTGTCAATTGCTTATTTTAGAATACTTTGTAAAGAGTCTGTTAAGGTGACATAAACTACGTCAAAAGCTAAAGCTAACAATAATAGCAATTGTGCTAGCCTCTACAGAAAAAGTGCTTTTGCTTATATTTTCACACTAAACAGAGAAAAATCTAAGCTTTGTTTGATTCCACACATACATCTATGTAAATGCCATATATATAATATATAATATATAAACAATAAGGTACACTAACTAGCAAGGATGGCTGCTAATGAGCTAAATTAGATGCATTAGACTGGCAAAAATGACCAAAAAGACTGTTAAATAGATATTCACAGTTCCAGTTATCTCTTAAGAAGGTGAACAATGAATTTGAACTAGAATCAACGTTCCACCATTTTTTAAATAAATAAGCACATTTTCATTGTTGCTTTGCAATAACATAACACATTAACCCCTTAAAGGACTGCAGGTCCAGACTTCTTTTACACACTCCTAGAACTTAACCACAGAAATGGCCAGAGCCCGTCGACAGGACGAAAATTTTATAACACACTCTTTTAACCTAAGAATAGCTCAGCTAGTTTGCATTGAAGTCCCTGTAGTTATTGAATAATAAGCCTTAGTATGTGACAAGCCTGGAATTTTTAAGGGGTTAAAAACAACTTGGCCAGTTTGCATAGTACTTCATGTTTTTATTTGTTATTAACTTTTATTGCTTAATTTTATTGTTCAATTGTAAAGCACTTTGAGCTACTTTATGTATGAAAAGTGGTCAATAAATAAAATGTATTATTATTATTATTATTATTATTATTGTGTAATTACTGAGTAATAAGCCCTGAAGGTTATGGAGATATATAGAAGACTGTTAGTTGTTGCCATTTTTCTTTGCCTACCTTGGCAATAATGCTACACTGCACACATTTTGTCCCTTTGTTGTGTTGTGCAGTCATCAGCATTCATACTCAACAACATGGTCTTTAACGTGGTGTTATGCTTGAGTAGAAAGAGTCTAAATATGTGCTATTAACAAGCACAGAATTTACGCTTCATGCCAAGGATGCCTGTTTGACAAACTTGAAGCTGAGTATTAAAAGTGTATCGAGAGTTTTAGCAAATAGCTGTTTCATAATAACAAAACCTCTGAATGTATTTTTTCATACTTAAAAGTAACAGTGAAAAACTAGCATTACTTAAAAAATTTCAAAACTTGGAAACTGGACTTTTGGACTTTTGATGGGCATTGTATATATCCACATATACAATGTATATGCAATTCATATTACTGTGGCAACATCCAAGTGGAGTTATATGGTAAAAAAGTGTTCTTTAGAAATTACATCTTTATTCATTTCATGTCATTAACATAGAAGCTTTTTGCGTCTTTTCTGAGTGTGAATATGTTTCTATGAACACTACATGTATGTGTATGAAGGTGTGTATATATGTATATATCTATTTTGTGTGTGTGTGTGTGTGTGTGTTCTTTGTAACTGTGAGCCCTTTTTCCTGCTCATTTGCCAACACAGGCTGCCGCGTCCCTTGTTAATGTGATTCAGGGACCTGGATCCGCCATCAAGCTCAATCAATAGCCGTTTCATTTCACACCATCCCTCACTGCCTTATAAAGACAGCCCTCCCTCTCTCTCTCTCTCCCTCTCTCTCTCCTGCTCGCTCTCTCGCTCTCTCTCTCTCTGTCCCACTGCAGTCCACCTCCTTGTTATACTTCTCCCATGGGTACCGGAAAGAGCCATGCTACACACACACATTCTATATGCCAGCTGGACTCCGAGTCCAAACATTAAATCTGTAAGCACAGTGGAAAAAAACGGTGCGCATCTCTACATCAATACGAAGGAGTGCAGCCCTCCACAATAAAACCCAATGTGATTTTTCTCTTAGATGAAAGTTTGGCTGAATCACAAAAATATGACAGACCCCTACAGATGGATACACACACACACCCCCTCTCAAACACACACACACACACACACACTCATATACAGGCACAGTCTCACAGACATGGGGTGAGGTTCATTTCAGTATGATTAAAATGGCTGAAATGATGAAATGAGGGTTTCATGTTGCAAAATGCATTTATATTTCTACATGCTACTAGATTACTACCAACATTTCCATTTTTCAGTATCACTTTGGATTTCTAGTAGGGCCTGAACAATATGAGCATATTAATGAATGGCACTTAAATAATGTACATTTGTCCTGTTTGGTTGTTCAAAATTGCAGCACTTTCCTGAATGTGATTTTCTTATATTACAAATAAAGGCAGGGCCAATAACGATAGGGGCTCTCCGTCATTATTGTGATGAATTACATCACATTTCATCACACTATGCTTTTCTAAGTGTTATCATGGGTATCATCTGCTTAGTTGTTTTTAATACAGTGCAGCATGTGAAATGTTAAATTAAAATAGTTGTATTAAAAACTTTTTGAAGTATTTTTAAATGTGGCACTATTTGTTCTTTTTTTGCTTGCAAACCTAGCAAACATATGCACATTTTGTATCGTGAAAGTGTCGAAGTATCATGATGTTATGTTTTTGCCATAACAGCCAGTCCTACTTAAAAACATTATCAGTTCCTAATAGACAGGATTTAAGCTGATGACAATAAATCCATGGAACCTCAGTACAGGCAGATTTTAGCAGCAAACAACATATTGATCAGGCCCTAATGTATAGGTCCAGAGGTGTAGTAAATAGCTCATCAGTGCTGTGTGGCACAGCGAGTACCACTGTGAGTACCATGAGTACCACATGTTTCCTGCCATGTAGCAATGATGTTTGTGTTCTAAAGCTTTTGGGAAAGTAGCTCTGGTTCATCAGAAAGAAGTGACAGCAAAGATAAGAAAAAACCAAAACCCCAATCACTTGAAGATGCTCAAGTATGTGTGTGTATGCGAGTTGGTTTGACTCACGAGGTGTGTTTCCAGGTAGAGTCGGAGGCTGTCTGTATCTGCTCTGGGTGGAGTCCAGTTCTCCGTGCTCTCCAGGGCTTCCCTCAGCCAGCAGATAAACTCATCCAGCTTAGAGACGAAACCCTGAAAGAGCCCAGCACACACATTTAGGGAGCACAATCAGAATCGCAAAAACGAAGACTGCTGCACTTTATTTCTGCTTCAGTACAGCACAAAGAAAACTCAGCTCACTTACTAAAGGGAATTCTCTCTTTGTGATCTAGAAAGTGACACCAGTGCTGTCTAAAGAGAAAACCAGCCATGTCAGAGTGATGTAGACCACTGATGCTTTACATCACCCACTCATATCCCCGAAAGAAAGCGCAGAAAAGTATGGTTTACTCTTAAACTTCAATTTCGGATGTAGTTCGGAAATAAAGTTTGAAATCCTCAAAGTTTAGGGGGAGCGGTTTGCTTTAATCTAACGCTCACAACGCTTAGAGGAATGTCATTCAGCACTTGTCCTTGATGTGCTCGAGCAGCTTGAACAAAACTGGTGGATGGTGTATGATGTGTGACTACTGCCATCTGTTGGCCATGTGTAAAAGCTCCTTTTCTTAAAAAGCGTTCAGTAGTTCTCTTCTACCCATGTGCTCTCTGCTCAAGCCTGAGGTTGACAAGAGGAAAAGACAGCGAGAGTAGAGCACAGTCACCCTAATTACAGAGAAATACATGCCCTTATACATCATAATTCTCCGGAGTCATGTTCTAATGCCATAAACCTGAGCAGATCAAATGGCATTTTGTACAATCTCTAATGAACTGCACAAGCACACCCGCAGCTTCTATGCAAGGATACTTCTCCCCTTTCCCTGTGGCAGCTCATTACCTAACATTGGTGAAAATCAAAGATATTGATACAAATGACCTCTCTTCAGAGGCAGGCTAAAAAACCCATAATTTATCGACTGTTTGGCCTCGACTTCTGAGGCGGGCAGGCTTTGAAGTGGGCGAGACTGGCTCTGATTTCAAAGGTAAGTGCTGGAGAGAGAAATAGGGGAAAGAGAGAGAGTGTGTATGTATGCGTGTTCTGTGTGTGAGTGCCATTCTGAAGCATGGTCTTATGCTAGGGAGAATGAATCCTGCATGGTTCCTGTGTCTCTGCGCACTGTATAAATGCACATTGTTTTTAATGGCCTCCTGCATGGGATCAGTTGATGTATCTAGGCTCCTCCCACTAATGCATTCTTTTTTAGCTAGCTACTGTTGCAAGATTGGATAATCAAACAGTTTATTTCATTTTTATTGGATTTTCCTCTACTCTTTACTTTTTTAATCTCACTGAAATTTGGATTTGGTGTTGTTTTGTTACAAATCCATAGTCATGTGACTAAAAGACTGAGTTTAATATGACAAATAAATGTAATAAAAGTTAACCATTTAGCCACATTTATTTGAAAAAGATTCTTCATCTCGAGATTTGTACTCAGAGAACATACAGACCAAAAAAAAAATTTAAATTTCAGATCTAGACATTAATTTCAAATAATAATTAGTATAAATGCATGCATAAGGGGTACATTGTTAAGTTAGATCAGGTAGTTTTTTAGGGATGCACTGATGTGGTAATTGAAGGTTGATGCGATATCCAATATTTTTTACACATGCCAATGTAGAAATTAGAACTACATTACATATGACATTTATTTCTTAATGGTAACAAATGCAGTAAAAAGAAATAAAATGCAAACATGTAAGCACAGTCGCCCAGCACTGCCTAAATGTTCTGCTCTTCTGGAGTACAATAAATACAGCTGATACTGATATAATTCTGATGTCATAAAGCATCCCTAGCTTTTTTGGTGCAGAAATAAGCTAACATTTGGACTATGGCAAATTTGTTGTAGTCATTTCCAACCTGCCGAATTTTGATTATCTATGCCAACACAGTCCATTTTCTTAACATAGCATTTTAAACTGGAAACTCAATGTTATACTGTGACTTTAAACAAAGATTGAATGGGATTTAAAGCTTATCCAGAACAAATTTGTGGGTGGAGCATGAATAGGTCAGTTGAAATACTACAGCCAATACAGGGCTAACAAACACAGCACTGTGCCATAGTACACCAGTCAGTGGAGATCAATAAGCATTGCCAGTGTATTATTCCCGCTGACGGGGACTGTCATGTGCGTGTATGTGTGTGTGTGTCTCATCCTCTGCCCCAATAAACACTCTCAGAGCAGATGAATATGTAGCCTCTGGTCAGGGTATTAACTGAGGGAGTGTATTACAAGGAGAGGAAGAGCAAATGAGATACAACTCATCGCCTCAGAGAGAGAGAGAGAGAGAGAAGAGAGAAGAAAAGAGAGAAGAGGCAGGAAGATAGCAGGATAGATAGACAAGAAGGAGGGAGAGAGAGACAGAGACATGGAGAGGAGCCTGGTCGGAGGCGTCACACATGACTAGGCCCCTGAGACTCCCCCAAGCAGGAGCTTCAGCTGCCAGCTGTCTGTTGCCGTGAGGATGAAGTCATCTCCAGGGGCCGCATGCTAATGTAATCAATCACCTCCCTCTGTGACACGCATCATCTCAGGTGGACGCGGCTGCCTGCCTCAGTCTGGCCCAGGCAGCCTCACACACACACACACACACAGACACACATACTCTCTCACAAAAACACTAGAGGTGGGCAATATAACAATATTGTAATGTTATCAAGATAAATTACATCACAATATATTAATAGTATATCATGGTATCGGCAACTGTATGTATAATAAAAAGACTGATTACAGAGAGTAACAAGAAGTGTACAGTAACTGCATAATACTGCTGTCATTTTGCTGTTTTGCATAATTTGAAAACTTCAGTCACTCCTTGTATCGTATTAAAAATTTATGAGGAAGGAACCAATCAAAATTTTCCACAAAAACTTGTTATACTGACTTCCATTAAAAGTTAAGAATGATTTTTCCTTCTCCTGTAAAATTACCATTTTGGATAAACAAGAGTTTGCTCCGATAGTGATGACATACTTCATAGTAACAAGTAGCTGACTGGATATCAGCCTGTTATGCCATTAACTAATGTTATTAAAGGGCCCAAATCATGGAAAATTCCAGTTTTCCTTTTTTTTTAAAAGAGTTTGATGGAGTATATAAACTGTGTACACTTGAGCAACCCGATTGCAAGTGGATAGCAAGATGTATAGTCATTTACACCTGACATTTCCATGTGTCTCGACTGCATCTCAAGTGGTCTCGACTGACCCCTTGTAATCAGATTGTGATCGGATTTTGTGACAGGAGGAAGGTCATGGTCCACATCTACTGCATCTGTCTCTCACTGCATCAGATAAAAATGTCCAGCAAATTCTTTTTTGTGTACATGTATGAGCTGTTTCAAACATTTACATAGCATAGACCACTAATGCAACTTATAAATAATACAGGAGATACAGAGAAAGAGGTGATGTGGTGTGATGGCACAGTTTATTGGGTGGCTCTTCGTTGCTGTTGGGGATGCAATGGATGTTTTAGCTCTCATATTACAAATGTTATACGGTCATATGCACCCCTGACTATCTCAGAAGGTAGTTTGAGTGATAGGCTCACAACACATCTCTGAGATGCACTGACGCCATTTAGATCAGTATTTAGTGCTGTCCACTTATGATTGGATCACTCAAGACATATGTTAATGCCAGGCGTGAACAGGGCCTAAGCTGCAAAAACAGTTTGTCTTCAATTCATTGTTTCTGTTATGCATTTACATATATCTGCCTGTTCAGCCTACAGCAGTTTAGCCCCACCCATTCACACTGAAGCTTTCAGCTTGGACTGCTTTTTGAATGAGGCTCACTAGAGGCCAGTACCAAAAAAAACACTTTTTAGATCTCTGGGGAAAAATAAAAAGTAAGAAAAATTTAAGATATGGCCTCTGTAGTTAATTGTTGGATTTTTATGTGCATTCCTTCATTAATAAGTTATTTTTTGCAAACACAATAAAAAATCTTTATACTTATAGTTTTAAATGTAGCAAAACAGTATGTTGTGTGAAAAAAGTATCTTCATTTTGTTGATTTTCATTTTTCTTCATCAGTTGAATAAACCCTCTTTAAAACTTTAGACTGTTTTTCCCTTCTCTTGTGAAGCTGCCATTGTGGAGATACTTGTTTTTCTTTGGACAGTGACGATATACAGTATATACTGTATACAATATATTGTGATGTTATATCTTTGCCCCATCCAGTCCCATAACTGTCACACAAATGCTAACACACACATGCAGGCACAAAAAGCGCAGTCTCAGATAGTGAGGATCTATCAAGAGAGATGTGTTTTGGTAGAGGAGCTTTTTGGGAAGAGCACACGTCTCAGCCCTTTCTGGCAAATGGCAGTTGAAATGGGAGAGCAGACTGAATAGCAGATTAATTGGGAGAGCAACTCCTGTTTTAAAACTGATGCATTTATGTAGTGTAAAGTTAGTTAAGGTAATATTTCAGTATGTCTTTCAATATTTTTAATTGCAACACTAATTTAAGACTTAAATCTAAATTTTATTCTTAACCATGATAGAATCAATAATATCTGCACTTATTTGTTGAGCCACCAGGTGGCAGTAACATACCACTTTCTGTTTGGCAACAGGTGTAACAGCAAAAGTGCAATTAGTTGGGCACCATTTTGCCAGTATATCAGTTTTTTGACATGTAGGCCTACCATGTTTTTATGTGTTTTGTGTTAACAACAGTTTGCTACAGTTTTGGTGTATTTTAGCTCACACATAGGATGAAAAAATAAACAAGCTATGTCTAATGTGGCCTATCTGCAGTCTAATGGTCCATAATTTAAATTTCAATTATTTATCATGGCTTTTTATTCCTACATCCTTAAAAGTGGAGTTTAAAGTGTTCTTTAGTAAAGGTAATGGTCATGTGCAGAATTGTGAAAGAGGCATCTGAATGCATAAATGCTTCCTTATCCTTTTTTTTTTTAAAGTGCATGCTCTTAGTCTAATAGAATGCATTTGAGGTTCCCTTTGGCTTTCATTAATTGTTTCTGTGGATTTTTTGGTCTTAAAATGCAAGTAGCAATTGCATTATTGTATTTATTTATTTCTCCTATTTAAACATTTTAGCATACATTGTGTGTTTGATAAAACTGTTTTCTAGCATTAACACAATTAATGTTAGTGTGAGAATTTAAGAAGTTACTAGACTAGAAACATCAATGAAATAACACAACATTGTAAATATCAATAAACAGACCACAGTCTTGGGCTTTTGTACCATTCTGCATATTGTTCTCCAGCTAATTCTTAAAACTATTAGAACTACTGTAGGACCCCTCAGCATCTGTCAGCAGAACTGTTAAATGAAAGCCAGCTAGCTAAATGAGCTGATGAATTATTGTTTATATGAGATTACCGAAAGGCCCTGGTCCATTAAACATTTTATTGTATATACTTAACTGTTTGTTTAACCATCTGGTGCCATGAGAGGTGTCTACTGGTCCTTTATGTGAATAGGAACATGGGTAGGGCTGAAACATTTGAAGAAAACACATTGTAATTGTTTAAATTGTGATTGCCTTCTTTAAATTAAGCTAAAGGCCCGTTTTTTTGCCAAAGAAGACCAGTATATCCACTTTTTCTGGCTTGAAGCTAGAACACTGAAAATAGTATGCCAGGCTGCCAGTTAGTTGTGGTTGTGTTGCCATGTACACAGCACATGGGTGTTTGGTTGCTTCAAATTAGTCTGACTCATCTACAGGCAATTCACAAGCTCTGTGTTATTGGGTTACATTTCCCCACTTAAAATCTGTCAACATTGTTAATAATGTGAGCTATAATTAAAAATCGCAGCTCTTGTGATTTGAAAATTACACCCTTTCAAATTGTGATTTGAAAACAATTAATCCTTCAGTCCTAAATATGTGTATGCCGAGTTTGACTTTATGTATTCTATAGCAAACAGTCTTATCATGGAAAGAAGGACGAGGCCTCTTTCAGAGATATATAAGACCTGTTTGTTGCAGGATTTCTGGCCAATAAGACATTAACTATTGCAACAAAGGCTACAAATCCATCCCATTCTCTGAGAAGCACAGCCCAAACAGGCTCTCACCTCTATTTTTCCCCAGATGTTCTGGTAGTTGTCCTGGTGCTGGATGTCTTCTAGTAGCTGCTGGATCAGAGGTGTACACTCGAGCACCATCCGAGAGGCTTTGGGCTGCAAACCGTACCTCTCAGCTCTCCGGGACTCAGGCCTGCTCCAGCCACCTTCATCCTCTGACAGCAGATCACTGAGGGGCCCAGACTCAATGCTTTCATCTAAAGAGGGGGCCACGTCGCTGGAGGAGGATGAGAAACATCCCCCTGGGAAATGCTTCTTGTAGGACCTGGGACGGAGGAGATGGGGGCCGCTGTCCCATTCTGGGTTGGCTTCAGTCAGCTCCCAGTCGTCCACATCCTGGATGGGCTGTTGCAGGGCTCTCGGGGGTAAGGCCTGCGCCAGGCTCTCCAGCTTCAGTGCCAGCATTTCAGTCTTCCTCAGCTGGGCAGGAAGGGCCAGAAACTCCTCAGAACCATACCAGCATTCATTTTTAGGGCTACAACTGGTTGTTTGGGGGACGTGGGGCATGATCCACAGAGAACCTGTAGTAGGTGCATGATCATCTGGGCTGGAGGAGCTCTCACGTGGGTCATGGTCTGAGGTGTCCTCACCTGATGAAGATGGAAGGCTGGAGGAGTCACTGTTTGGCTCGGTTTTTGAGGGCTTGCTCTTTGAGCTTGAGTGCAGGTTAGTACCCTCAGTGCCATACTCCTGCCCAGCCTCAGACGAGCTTCTCTGAAGGGGGATTTGAGCTCTTCCTATGGCTGTATGCTTCTGGAAAGTTGTCTGGTGACTCACTTGCCGGTTCTTGCCATTCATAACGTGAAGGTTCTCATCAGACTGACTCCCACTGCTGGGGTACACTGTCTCTAGCTCCAGCCAGAACTTGGAACGATCAGGCAGTTCTAAGAGAGAGGGTGTGCTTCTGCTAATATCAGCCTGGTACTGCAGAGAAGACGGCCTGTTGAGTCTAGCCTCCATGTACATGGGCTTCTTGGGCATGGAGGGCTGTGTTGGAGACACGTCGCTGCTGTGGGAGCCTTGAAGTGGACGCTTGGACAGGCCAAGGCCATTTTCTACCTGAAAGGTGCCACCCTGCATGGCTGTGTCTGTGGAGGGTTCCTGGTCTATGGGCCCACTCTGGGTACTCTGGGTGGATTCTGGTGGTTCCTCCACAGGTGAAGATGATTCTTGGCTCTGTCTGGAGGCAGCAATGGTCAGGAGATCTACGCTCTGGAGCAGCTCAGGGAAATCCCGCTCTAGCTCAGGATAAAGGGAGCGCGGGTCTTGGCCTGGGCCCCGGCCCTCTGTGTCTTCCTCGTTGGGGCTGTAGTCGCTGAGTTCATAGGCAGTGATGCCACAGTCCAGGGAGAAATAGTCCTGGCTGCACTTAATGGTCAGCTGACCTGAGTCGTCTACCTCTGTCAAAGCATCCAGTCGGGCCTGGAAACAAAAGGTATGACAAAAGCACAATACTACATTCATACTTTTAGTTTAATATAGTGGACTTAATTTGAAAATAATGGAATATTCAGATTACATCTGATGTATGTCCTTAGTAAAGTAAGCAGCACAGCAGCAAAGCAGATCAAATGCATTATAGACAATGCACCAATATAATAATGAACATGTGCCTGTCATGAATCACGGACATTTGAAGCTTTTAAGATATTCAACCAATATATTCTTTACTTTACCTATTGCAGTTTTACAATTTTACAGATTACTGCCTACTTCTGCTATAGAGCGTTATTCTTTTTCACACATTCACACATGCGTGTATGTTGGCTGTAAGCTGTAGGCAATATATTCAAGAGCAAACTGATGAGCTGACAGGAGGCCTTAGTTGGTGCTAATTCTTCCTCATCAGGTTGGTGTGGTTGAATCCTTATGGACCTTGTACACAAAATCAGCTACTCTTTTCCTTTTTTAGCTTAACAGAGGACAGTGATAGATTGATGTGTAAGATTATCCACCATCCAAAAAGTATAACTTTTCAGAGGAAAAGAGCAATAGTTTTGCAAAAGCGGAAAAAGAAGACAAAACATAATTATTGGACCCACCTGATTTTGAAAAGTAGAAAAAAGATAATAGATAGAACATGATAAAAGAAAAAATAAAAAGAAGAAGAAATTTTTTTTCTTGATGTGCAAGTTTCCAATAAAAGTACAGTTGTATGCAAAAGTTTGAACACCCCCAGTCAAATTAGGTTCTGTTGATTTTCTAAGGGAAAACAAGTTCACATATCCTCAACAGGGAACAAACTTACATATTTCAGTGCATAACTTCTACTTATTTGCTAATTTTAACATAAAAAACACATGAAATATAAAATGTGCCACAGGCCATATTTTATGTTTTATTTATTTTCAATATGCTAAATTTAGCAAATGAACAGTAACTGCACCTAAAATGTGCTGAATTGGTATCCTCTGTTTATCTACTAATTTGCTTTCACTTAGATGGTTAACAAAACATGCAATTTGACCAGGGGCACCTAAACTTTTGCACACAACTCTATTCAAGTTTGTTGCATTCATTTTTTTGTCTGTAACTTACACAGGCTGTTAAAGGCCTTTTGTATGGGCAAGTGAGTTGTACTGCAGTATATCTATTCTATTCCTGGTGAAATGCTGTATAAATGCACTACTGCAATGTATGGTGTCATATATAGTCTCCCAGTGCCAACTTATATAACAGCTGTCACTGTCCTTGTTATGCTGTCCCAAGTTGTGCGTGTGCATGTGTGACCTGGTCGTGGTCCTGGCTGAAGGCCTGCAGAATGTCAGTCTGGCGGGTGTAGTTGCCGTTGGAGTCCTGTAGGCCCTGGAGGAGTCTCTCCTTCAGAACCAGCACAGAGACGCGGAGCTGGTGCCACAGCAGCTGCACACTGTGGATGTCCACGATGATGTTGACCGAGTAAGACAGCAGCTTCAGGGAGAACTCAGTCTCCAGCAGAGCATGGATCTGCTCCACATGATCTGATATGTCCTCACAGATGTCCTGTGTCAAACACACACACACACACACACACACACACACACACACACACACACACATATATATAGGAGGTGGTGAGAACTGAGTACACAGCTGTTATGAAACCTCACAAGCTGTCATAATTTGGTATTTTTTCATGTTTAACCAATAATAACACTCCTTCCTGTGGACATAATGACAACTCAAAAACAAAAACAAGCCCTCTATAGATGGTAACCTACTTTAAGAGGCATTGCGACTTGAGACAAAATAATTTGTATAATTTATAGCTCTTGAGAGAGAGCTGGATAAGCACTGTAATAGTAACATATGAGTCATCAGCACTTTTGAAGCATTCAGATGCCTCTTCAGACAAATAGCAATCACAAAGGCTACTCAGAACACACTCAAATCAGCCTAAGTACTAACATTACAAAAAGAAATGAACTGGAACACAATGTAAAAGAATGTTTAGCTATTTGAACTACTGCAAAGCATCAAACACCATAAAGGTCTCTAACAAAACCATGTGCTATCTTTAAGTATGTACTCCACCCCAGGTGACCCTTTAGGCTAGATCATTTGGAAGTAAATTAAATTTATAAATTTAATAGTTTTTTGTAATAAATCTTCTAGACCTCACAAGACATTTTCAGCCATATAATAATTCACCTACCTTCAACCAGAAATGAGAAGCACAATAGAATGCTTTGCAATGCTTCACCATGCACTAAGAAGTAGGAAGGGAAATTGGCAAACTTATGTCATATTTCCAGGTTCTGCACTTGAGTCAGTTTCACATGAGACATGAATAAGTCGGAGGATATCTCAAAGTAAACAACTGAACACCACATAGTTCTGTCCTAGAAACTGCCACTGATGCTGTACATGGCACAAATAAAGAGGATCTTGACTATACTCTGAGGGAATGCAGCAGCCAATGTGTTGAAAACTGTTAAAAAGACATAAATAAAGAACTCTCACTCTGTGGCTTTTCCCAGACATAGAAACCTCTGCTTTCCAAATTTGCACTTCATATATATTACTGTACAAAAGTCAGAGACCAATTTTCATTTATTGAACTTCCAGTTATAACTGCCATTATGTACAAGTTACACATTTTTTAGGATGTATTTCTTAGAAAATTAGATACAAGATAATCCACTTGCATAAGGAAGAAAAGAAGAACTGATGAGTGTAAATTTTACTTGGATCGTTAGCAGCACAAAATGCAACCAACTTCTAAGACTGAACTTTGGAGGAGTGGAAAAAACACCTGCAGATTTCTCTGAAAAACAAAAAGGAAGTCTCCATAAAAATGGTAGATGTAAAAAAGTAAAGGCTAGGCAACCTACAACTGACAATTTAAGGCTTCTGTGTAATTTTCTGTTAAATATATGTTTCTGCTTTTTTTCTGTTCTATTTATACAACATCATATAAGGTCACAAGTCCATAACCCAGAAAACATCAGGATCAAACAAGTCAGAATGTGACAAAACAATATAACATGCCAAAACAGAAGCAAACAATATAGTAAACATGAACAAGAGCAACAGTATAGGGAAGAAGTCTACATTACTGCAACACTGAAAATGGTTGGAGCATAAAGCTACTTCCCAACACAGCAGGGACATCACAGAACATTTATTCACATGTCCTGCATACTGAATCACTACCTCACTCTGGCCTTTAGGAACTGCTATAAATCAAGTCATTTAAGTGCACTTGTGCTGCTTTGGTCAAACCCTGGAGAATCCCAGTCTGTGCCTGTCCTTGGTTAAGTGACTCCAGGGTAAGATATGTTGTTTTAAATAAAGTCACAGTTAAGTAAATATGGGCCGTTCTAGCTTAGCTGCTGTTAGAGGTAAACTCATAATAGTCCTTTTAGCCATTATGTTTCTGGTTGCAGGGGGCTGTCACTACATCATAAATCACAGAGCTATGGTTGATGATTAAAAAATTAATTCAGCAGTTAATATACAGGGACAGAAATGAAAATGAAATGCATCAATTGCTTGTTTTCTTACATTTTCATTTCAGACTTTGAGACTTTGTCTGAATTTGTAGAAAAAAACAGGAACTTATAATGTCAGCACTAATATTGTAGTCCTGATTATATATATATATATATATATATATATATATATATATATATATATATAAATCAGGACTTATATATGTATCTATATATATATATATATATATATATATATATATATATATATATATATATATACACACACACACACACACACATATATTATCACATACAGATACCTGCACATAGATATATGTATGTTACCCATAATAACACTATAAACAAACCTCTGTGTGTGTGTGTGTGTGTGTGTATGTTTGTTTCTGTCTCTCTGTCTGTGTGCTGGCCAAACTTTCCCTAACCAATCTCTCCCCTGCCCTACAACAGTAAAAGGAGGCTCAGCTGCTGTAACTGACACATCTGACACATGCCCGCCCACCCAGCCCAATTAAAACACATGCACACATGCAAATACACCCCACTGGTTGGGCCGCTCAGCAGCTCTTGAACTGGAAACATGAGAAAAGAACAGGACACTGTAATAGTCTAAAGCTCATAAAGCTTGATTGACACTATAATATTTTACAGCACATAAGCATTAATGGATATATTAGGACATCTACAGCATAAGTACAGTAAACAGCATCTAAGGACATGGACACAGCAGACATGCCAAAGCAACTGCCGCTCCGCGATGACCCTAACATCAGCATTGGCCACTGAGTGGCAGCGCCTTGGCCGCGGTGCTTCCTGCCTCCTAAAATACCGTGGCATCTCTGAATGTAGGTCAGCCTCTCCACCAACATGACAGAATCCCTGCACGGGACCCTCCTGCACAGCAGCTCAAAAATAAACACTCCAACTGTGTTGGCGCCAACTGTACCTAGAATACAACACCGCTCACCGATGAAAGGAGTTGACCCAAAACTTTTCACTTCAGAAAGGGGGAAAACTGGTACCAGGGCACATAACTAAGAAGTAGTATACACAACCATTACGGGTTCTCTAAAAGAACTATGACCAAATTAATCTTTTTTGATGAAAGGTCATTTAGATTTTGATGACAAGTCATAGATAACTGTGGTCTTTTGTGACCAGACAAAGAATTTCACAGTATATAAATGCACAGATCTTGATTCACCTTGACATTTCATTTGCACTTGATACAAGCACAACCAGCATGGCATCTAAACTTCCCTGTATTGAACAAAGTTAAAGCATAGTATTGGAAAATACTGACAAATCATATAAAGGCTCACCAAAATGAGTGGATTTGCACTTCTCTGAGTATTTTCAAATGATTATACTCTGACTTAAGTATATCTGTGAGGAACATAATCTACTTTAATCTACTTAATCTGCCTGCCACTCACAACATTGCCTAGTTCTCTTTTTGTGATTGATATGCTTTTGTTTGTGACAGCATCTGTACTGCTTTGCTGTGTATGCACAGCTAATGTCAGTAGCATCAAGGCATCACAGAGACTGGATATTCTAGCATGTTAATTATGCATTAATAACACAATTGCACAGTTGGAACACCAGGACCAAACACTAACTCACTCCAGCATGCTTCTTGCCTCCCACCTCTAGTGTTGTTAGTAAGTTGTGCACCAACAGGATCATAGTCATCATTCGGCTTCATTCAAATTTTGCTCAAAATATAACGAAAATACCAAACTGAGAACCCAACATCATGAACTGGATCAAATCGTTGCCTAAGAGCCTATTTGTAAATGATTCTTGGTTCTAGGAACTTTTTATTGGAATAGACACTTTATGGTTATTTACATTTCATTTACAAAAAAGATTCTTTAAAAAGACATCCCCTGACAGTTCATTAGGGAACCAAAAGTGGTTCTTTTATGACATCATTTCAAAGAACGCTTTCCATTTGGCACCACCTTTATTTTTAAGGGCGATACTTAGAGAGGTGGACAGTGACAGAAGAATTCAAAGGCTCTTGCAGCTGTGCCTTACAACACCATATGCACTCTCAGCTTTGATGATGACAGCACATGGACACATAGCAACACTGTCTCTACTCTACTACTATCTCTTTACAAACACAACAGCTCCATCGCCATGAGCAAAACAGGCTTAAAACACTCCACACAGACTGTGGGAAAGCAGATAGATGTATACGTTTATCAGCCCAGCTCAGTTCATCATATTCTCAGCATTACAGTAAATAAAAAAACTGCCCTTAATCATATTATACCCAGAGCCATGACGGTAGAAAAATCAGCCTTTAGAAAATGGAATTGAAGAAAATGAAATCCATAAGAGCATGCTTACCTGTTCTGCTGCAAATCAGATGAAATACAGAAATTAAAAGCAAAGGCTAAAGCAACGTGTTCGCACACAGACAGTAGCTGCGATGGTAGTGACACTGCTGTTCTGTCATGCGTTAGGGTCGGCTATATCTCTCTCTCTCACCTCTACACATTTACTCTCTCTCTCTTTCTCTCTTAGTCACTCACTCACATGCTTGCACCACCCAACACTGACCTGCTTCTCTCTCTCTCTTTGAGGAGGAGGAGGAGGGGCTCTGACCATGCTTTGGATCTATTTTGGGATTTGACCCCCACCCCTCCCCAGGCCTCGTGCCGGGTTCATCCAGAATAGCCGAGTGCAGGCTGGCACGGGCAACTGCTGCTGGGGACCTGGGGGGGCTACAAGAAAGGGGCAGCTGGGGTGGGGACAGTGGAGGAGGTCAAAGTCGTCCCCAAGAGCCCATGTATTTCCAGGCGCCCTTGGACACGGTCACTTTCTGTTAGTACCGCTGCTGTTGCTGTTGATTTGTTGTTGCTGAAATGCTTTTAGAGAGTTGAGAGAGCAGATATAATGTTGAAACTGGCCACAGAGATCATGTTCATGCAGACTAGGGCTGCACAACATGGACAAAACACCATGTTGCAGTTTCATTGCTACATGTTGCAATTATGATTAACTAATAATAAACCATGCAAAGCCGTCCAAAAC